ATACTTAGATGGCAAATAAAAGATTGATTGAATAATTGATTGAGTGGCCCCATTTTTTAATGGTTGGCAACGCATCTGTAACCCGTCAGATGTTGTAGATACCCAAGGGCGGCGGTTATCACTTATCATCAGGCCTGATCGCTTGCCAATTTTCGTATAGTTATTTTTAAACAGTTACATTTATTTAAGTATCCAAACTTTTTTATCTAGCTATAACTATAATACCAAATATCTATGTGCAATTTGTGTAGGTGGTACAAATAGAGGGCAGCTCTACTATTACTTACATTTAAGGCACTATATTAAATAAGGCGTTTCGAATCAAACTCTTACCAACTAGTTGGCATCACTGTTTCAATTGAAAAGAGTGCATACGTGTCACTTTAGAAACCACCGGTTTCGTTAGCAACAAAGCGTCGGACGTCGCTAGTGTTGTTCGACAAAAGAGCTCGGGTGGATCAGATGGCTGTGTCGGCTCGGCGGGCAGCGAACGGGTCGAGTTCGGGCGTTATAAAACAATGGGCAGGACGCGTGCACAATAGTGTGTTGTCACCATGACGGCCCTAAAGTCGGAACAATTAAGCGCAGATTGCGTTTCAGCGGATTTCACGGTTCCGATGTTCAACCTTTCGGTTGTTACCAGCGCTGGGCGGCGATCGACACGGTCGTTGATGCGATTGTGTGTGTACGATAACACGTGTTTTAGTAGTGGTCGTGAATGATATTGTGTGTTACTACATAGTATAAAACAAAATCGTCCCGCTGTCTGTCTGTCCTTATGTATTCTTAGATCTTTAAAACTACGCAATGGGTCTTGATGCGGTTTTTTTTAGATAGTGGTTCAATAGGAAGGTATATATGTATAATACATTGCACCCGTGCGAAGCCTGGGCGGGTCGCTAGCGTATGACATGTTGATATGATGATATAACGTATGTTACGTTTCAATGGTGCTATTCTAATCGCTCGGTGCGACGCTTCGTAGCACACTTCAACGCCCGTTAACGAGACGCTAAAATTGTGACCCTGTGATAATTGTTCGCAACGTCTGTCAAATGTTCTTCAGTGTACATGTATCTATTGTGTTAAAGGGCAAATATACACCTCTGCTCTAGGATTTAACTGTGGTAGGGCCACGCAACAATCTTCACTGTTGCTGGAATTGGCAGGTCAAAATAACACGGTCTCACAGAAGACCGGCGTGAAGTGAAATTGCTTTTCGTCTGGTGAGTAGGGTAATTAAAAGGTGGCAAAAAATCTGCAAGCCTACGGGTGTTGCAAATGTCGATGGGCGGTGGTTATCAGTTAACATCAGACGAACCGCCAGATCGCTTCATTTCTTACATAAAAAAGATCAAATTTATGTAATATGATTACGTCGAACTCGTAATACGAGATGTGTTATTTTGTCTCGTGATGTTGTCCGAATACGTAATTTGGCATATTTATGTTGTCTTATAAGTCAATCGATGATCATTTTCATCTCGAGCCTCAACAGACATAGGATCCGAAGCTAACTAGGAAGTAATTCGAACTGCCTCGATAAAAGTGCAACGTACATCGCTCGTAATGGCGACATTGCACGGTTGCTGATACGCGTGACACGCGGAAGTGGGGCCGCATCGCGACACGAGATCCGTGACGCACCGCGGAATCGTGTCCAAGGCACGATGCGACATCTGCGAATCTCTGACATGTCATGCAACTCGTTGCCACTTCGTTCCTTTTTTACGCTGCGACAATTTCCCGTGCGGTTGTGGGAAAATTGATACTTAAGTTGTGTCGCGGTTGTCATACGATTGGCCGGTATTGCCTTTTGTTTTTTCAACTCATCCTTGTTTTGTGAGATTGTGTTCTACTATTCGCTAGGCATCTTATGCGTCATATTAACAACTTTTTAAACATATTTATTAAGACTTATTGATTTAGTCTTACTCATATTACGTTTCCTTAGAAATATTTCAACAAATATTGTGTTATTGTGTATTTTGTGCAAATGTTTTATTCTGATATTGTTGAGCGATTGAAGATTAAGTAAAAAAAGTTAATTTAACCAAGGTTGTAACGACCATTGAATAAAATATAGGTGGAATAAATTATGTATTTGTATATATGATTATTGAAGCAAAAAAATAATGATTTGTTACTTTCAAAATTATTTCAAATCTAACAACAATTAAGTAAAAATCCACTTAAAGCTATATACTTTCCCTTCCATTAAACAATTTCATAATTATTACATGTTTAAATGCAAACATTATTGTTTTTACGATATCGTACGCGTTACAAATAGACGAGTCTCAGAGCTTCCCTCTCGTAGTCTAGCGGAAGCTGCGGGGCCGACTGACACTAGAGACGCGTCCTCGTGGGAACTGAGGCAAAAAGTGAACACTGACACGCTAGGGCAACCATCTATTCTCAATTTAATAGGACAAGTCCTGACGATCAACGGCGAAGTTGACCGTTGGCAACATTCACGTCTGTGTCCTAGAAATGTTGAGAGATGTCTCGATTTATATGCACCCTATTTCGGTTAGAAAAAAAAAGTAACAGCCTATACATATCCCACTGTTGGGCAAAGGCCTCCTCTATACAGAGGGTATCAGGGCATAGTCCACCACGCGGCCCCACTGCGGATTGGCGGAATTCACATATCTTCGAAATATTTTTTTTTGTTATTATTTAGAAAATATGCAGGTTTCCTCACGATGTTTTCCTTCATCGCGGAGCACGTGATGAGTCAGCACTTAAAGTTAAAAGCTTCATTGGTGCCGGCACCGGGGATCGAACTCAGGTTGCTCGAGTATATTGAATTAAAGGCGAGCGCCCGGACACTAAGCTATCACGGCTCAAGGTTTCGGTTAGAAACAAATTGAAATACGAAGGCGAAAACTTAGTTCATTTAAGTCTGCATGATATTGCATTATAACAAAATATTTGCGGAGTTCAATTACAGACCAATTTACGGTGGTATGTCAACATAGCAGCTCGTCCGGGCTCGTCCGGCAACTTTAAACATAAAGAAAACAGAGCAATACGACTCCGAAGATATTATTCTTATGAAATACTCGTAGGTCTTACGACTAAGTATTAAAACTTTTTTATGTTAAAATTACACTCAACCGTTTTAATATTACGACCGTTTATATCAAAAGTTTATGGATAATAATTTTTAACCACACAGATTAATTCGTCTTACTAATCGTTTGCCTCCATTAATCCCTAATAATACAAACAAAACTTAAACTTGCTACCCAGAGAGATGTTAAGACATTATATACTTTCCCTTTTCCAAATCCTGACATATCTCTTCCATCTCACCCGCATCCATAAATTGATGTAAGCATATTATTCTTATGAAATACTCGTACGTCTAACGACTAAGTATTAAAACTTTTTTATGGTTAAATTACACTCAACCGTTTTCCGAGTTCAATTCCAATTTTTCAAAAGGTTGTCAACACATCTGGAAACCTTGTGTGTAGCAGATGTCCATGGGCGGCGTTATTCACTTAACATCAGGTGAACCGTCTGCTCGCTTGGCAACTTTTCACATAAAAAAAAAGGTGCCGGTAACAAATAAATTGATAATTGCAGCCTAAATTGCTGACTGAGCGTGCTCAGTAAGGAAGGAAAACATAGTGAGAAAATCTGAATATTTATAAAGGAGTAAAACAACAATTTGATCATACGTGAGGTCTTCTAGTCTGCAGTGTTGTCGGACCTTACCCTAAGAACCTCGTAAAGATGAGGCCTTTACCCAACAGCGGGACATTTATATAGGTTGTTACTTTTCTCTCAAATCCATCTTCATTTTGTCCAAGTTTTAATAGGGATTGCATGGTAATGCAACAATATGTAGGTTCTTTTTAGGGTTCCGTACGTTTCCAAAGGGTAAAACGAGACCCTATTACTAAGCTTCCGCTGTCGGTCACCAGGCTGTATCTCATGAAACATGATAGTTAGACAGTTGAAATTTTCACAAATGCTGTATTTCTGTTGCCGCTATAACAACAAATACTTAAAATATAATAAAAAATATCTAATTGGGGCTCCCATACAACAGACAAGATTATTTTGCAGTTTTAATAGATAATGGTACGGAACCCTTTATACGCGAATCCAACTCGCACTTGGCCGGTTTTTTTTTCAAACAGCGTAACGCACCCCCTGAATGAATTGGTTTGAAGCCGCTGATAATTGAACGCATAAGATGCAACTCCAACTTTCGGATGTGCAAGTGTTTTATTGCTTACCTGATGTTTTTACTGTCTGTTAATCTGTCTTAACGGCGTAACGTAGTGACGTCATTGAACCCTTTGTTTTTAAATATAAATAACCGTTTACAACTTGCCTGCGGTGTTCTCATTAATTGGCACATGACTACTAGCTGATGTGAGATACGAAAGTTTTTATTGTTACGTGAAAAAGTAACGTAAATTCAATGAAATAAAATGTATGAATATAATTTAATGAACATATTGTAAGTTCTTGTTTTTGTTTATCTGTTTGTTGTTGCTTTTGGGCAAAGACCCTCCTCTGCACAGAGGATATTAGGGCAAACTCCAATGCGGTTGGCGGACTTCACTTATCTTCGAAGTATATTTTCAAAGTCAAAGCCAAAGTATATTTATTCAATATAGTCTAAACTTAATTATTTTGTTGACGTTAAATAAGAATTTAACGTCAACAAAATATCTACCATACATTTTGTTATTGTTTCGAAAACATTCAGGTTTTGCCATGACATTGTTCTTCACCACTGAGCAAGTCAAGACAGCACTTGAATATAAAATTAACAATTTCAATGATGCCAGAACCGACGATTGAACTCAGGTTGCCCGAGTATATTGAATTAAAAGCAAACGCTGGTACATTGAGCTATCACGGCTTCGATATACCCACTTCTATATACAGGGGCGAATATACCGTAAAGTGAACGAAATTGAATCCATGAACACAATTTAATGTACCTATTGTGTTGCTCAGCGTCCGCACTACAGTCGGACATTGTTGGATAAGTTAAGACCCGAAATTGCACAATTATCGTGCGCGCCTTTCGGGAAGTTAGCACGACGTCCGCCGCCCGTCTCGAACACAATAACGGTCGCAATTAAACCGTCCACGGCACGAGAATCGGTACGCGGGGGAAAGGAATCCGTTGAAAAGGATGCAATTTCGACAATCAGTACGCGCGCAGCGGAACAACAGGCGCATTGAACCCCGAATTTTATTGGAACCGACCGCGCCACGCCGGTCCCGACTTTACTCTGAGCGGATACGTAAAGATCTCATTCCAACGAAAACAATCACATAAATCTCGTATATCGTTTTGTTGTATCAGATCCGTGATAGCTCAGTGTCCGAGCGCTTGCTTTTATTTAAATATACTCGAGCAACTTGAGTCTACATCCAGCCTGTACCAGTGATATTGTTAATTTTAAGTGCTGACTTATCACGTGCTCAGCGGTGAGGGAAATCGTGAAGAAACCTACACAAAAAATATCTCGAAGATATATGAAATATGCCAATCCGCAGTGGGGTTGCTGGGTGGATTGTGCCCTAATATCCTGTGTACAGAGGAGGCTTTAGCCAGTAGTGGGACATGTATAGGATGCAATTTTTTTTTTTTTTTTATAAGACGGGTGTCGGGGAATGTAATCCCATGACCCAGCCATTGATTTAAGATATACATTTGCTTTAGTCCGGTGAGTGAGGTGCCAAGCACCTACACTGCCGTTGTTTGGAAGCACGCCAATGACATCTTCAGTATAGTGAGCGTCCATAGTAGAGCTCTTTACTTGCCACCAGTCTTGTTCAGTTGTCACACCTTTGAAATGAAGAGATACGTGCAAGAATCGATTTTTAAAATCGCACCTTGTTTATCGGCCATTGCCAGCAATTGCGGCAGTGCCATTGAACATAACTCTGCGGCGGAAGAATCACGAGAACAGACACCGATAGGGGCGACGGGTCCGGCTCGTCCGCAATTATAAGGAAATCCCGCGCGTATGTAAATCGGCCGCGCTCAATTCGTCCATCCTGGCCACGGACATGCGGGCGCTAATTCTCGATTCACGCTACGCGCACGATTAAGCGATAGACGCGAATTGAGTGGCAATTTATCAGTTGACCGCCGATGGCGGCGTAAAGAACGCCTCGCCAATTGGTGCTGATTTCGTGTGAAAACGTCCCTGATGCTTTATCGCTGATGTGGTATGACGATTTCTTCTTCTTTTTACAAGAATACAGCAGATTGTTAGGCGTGTTTGCTGCGCAAGTGGGTCCTAAATATTTGGTGAGATAACAAAAAATAAAACCGACATCAAATAACTCGCTCTTCATCAATAACTTATACATTTCCTTTGCGATTTTTAAGAATTCCATGATATGTTATCGAAATCCAAGTATCAATTCGAATTAAATTAAAATAGGATCATTTTATAATTGTTTCTTTCCCAACAACAAAAAAGGATTACGGAGTTCTGAGGTAATCTCGTATTGGAAGTATGTAGAAAATGTGACGATAGTCCGGATTACCAATGAGATTTAAATATACAACAAGTCAGTCCGAAATGAGACGACCATCCATGGTGTAAAGCGTTCGAAACGTTAAGATTTTCAAGTTAAATTTAAACGGTACAAAGACTACATGTATGTAGTTTCATTTAACGACGATGCTTGTAGCCAATTACTGTTCCTTGTTAGATGTTCGACTTAATACTTGTAGTGATAGTCCCGACTCGAACTCCTTCTATCGTGTATATATAAGACGATATTTGCAACCTATGTACCTACATAAAAGACAGTGCTGAGACATATATTTGGGTTGTGAAATATATAAGCTATACGTCCTGTATAAGCTATGTATAAAAACAATATTAAGTGCTATTTAATTAATATGTCGCCATACAAACGGTCAGAAATCCGTGAGTCCAGATTTGATTTGAAATTTGCGTGCAATCTTACCACCTGTATCGTTTATAGCGAAAGTAATGACGGTGAATGTCTGTAATGACATTTTTTAGTATTCCCCAATAGATTTAAAAATCTTGAGTATTTGTTATATTGTTTCTCTTCACATGAAGGCTTGTTCATTTTCCTTAAGTCTGATTAGCCACGTAACAGATGCCATAAAGGCTGTTTGTGTGGTCTATTATTGGTCCGATGGTACATCTCAAAATTGTGTTACTTTCGAAGAAAGAAGTTGAGGACCGAAATGTTGGGAAAGTGAATCCCGTGATTATTATCATTATTGAATTATGATCATATTTGAAAAGAATAATTTCATGTAACTGACATATGGAATATGTACAGAGATTCATGTCAGTTTTTATAACCACTTTATTAAAAGGAGACACAACAAGCACATCTACATCGCTTGCCATGCTCTTACATAAAAAAATCAGGAAGTAGCCAGAACTCGATCTTTCTATCTCTGAACTTTGACAATTCTATTGCGGTATATTTCGCGTTCACATAAGCTTTCAATGAGCCTGAACAAGACATAAATAAGACTGGATTTTAAGAAAAAATTAAGCTCCTATGCTACACATCTCAAATATATCTCTATATATAATCTATCTATTCTATCTAAATATATAATCTATCTATTGTATATATATACTATAGAGAATACATGACCGTTTGTAAATCGTATCTTTAAATACCACACCCACTAGTGGGTGTCCACTCGCGCTAAATCCGACTTACCTCCCCGCCGCTAAAATATCTATTTCCATTGGGCCCATGCTGAGCTGCGTTTTCGACTTCGCGGTATATTTTTGTTGTGTTTTTTTTTGGGGACTACTTTTCTGTTATTCATGGTTTTACGTATATGGTAAACGGAGTTTAATTCGAGTTCGAATATTAAACATGTGTTAAGTTCAATCTTGGTGTGATTGTTGTTTCTCTTTTTTTCTTTAGAAAATAACGTGTAACACTGCCACATTACGAGTATATTAAACGAAAGATTTTTATGTACACACATATATAGTATAAAATAAAGCTAATAAGTTATAAGATATGATATCGTATAAGATATTATATGTAACATATATCATATATATAACCTAACCAACCGACTTTTTTAAAGTTTGGCATCACCTTTGCGACCCTGCTGCCTGCAACTGCTTACTGTTACTTACATATCACATAAAGAAAAAATATATTGAGTTCACGTAGTACGAAAGACGCTGAGAAGCGCAGAATGTCTTGCTGTGGTAGGGCTACGCAGAAGCTTCGGCTGTTGCACAAATGAGCAGGCTCATCCGGGGAAGTGGAAGTATTATGATTTCGCTTTCCGTCCGGTGACGAAACCGGGCCCACCTTTTTTAATCGTTGTAACGCATCTGCAACTCTTATGCGACCATCAGTGGCGGTGATCACTTGCTATCAGGTGAACCACCTTTGCCACCTCTTTACGTAAAAAAAAGTTGGATAAAGATCTGATACAGTCACGATCTGATGAAGGTGTAATGTTACGATTACAGTTACCACATGTTACGCGACAATCGGTGTGCGACGTTTGTTACAAATAACGGTTATTATCAAACGGCGACGTCGTCATATAACTGTTATGTGAGACGTCGCAACGAAGCATGCTACACTTACGACGGCGAGCGTTGTAATACATGTGATATGACGTCATTATATTTAAGTCGAAAGAAATTGTTCATATGGATTTGTTTTGAAGAATGATGTGTATATGCAAGAGGCGGGCATTGGTGACGGCTGATGGAGGAAAGAGGGAGTAAAGGATATGGTTCTTCGACCCTATCTAGGTCAAGGGTAGAAGAAAAAAGAAGACCTTATCGTGGTTAATCATGGTTCTTTATATTTCTTTTTATATCTTTCCATGTACATCCTACCCATCAACAATTCCTTTTGGTGAACTTCTGAGGGTGCCTGGAAGAAATAGCTGTGTAGCATAAGGTCACCTTTCGATGACCAAGATTTTATAAATATTTTTTTTGTGGAAAATATAGTATATTATTATTAAGTTCAAATTCCTTAAGTCTCGGTCAACCACAGTCACGGTACAGACTCAGGTAATCAGACACAACATGCCATCGATGAGCGGAGTGTAGGTAGCTCTATTCACTATTTACCCGGACGACTACTGTGAACTTTACTTAGGACATCAAAGAAATCAGTCTATCCCGTAACCATAGAGAACATTCATTGTCATTCATCCATGACACCAAAAATCCAAACGTTTTCAACAATCTTCGTCAGCTTTCGCGCGTGTGGCTAAATAAAGTTCGGAAGTATCTAACAAGCTTTTCTAAAACGAGTAGGTATTACGAAACAAACCATATTAAAATCTAGGCGTTATATATGTAAACTTAGGCGGAAAAGATACAACTGCTCCCCCATCGTTTTGTTTACCCCACTTGGCGCTAGATAAGATTCATTATTAAATATATCGCTAATCTACTTGAACGTTATATAATTTTAACGGACAAGCAAGACCAACATTAACAATGCCTTACCATCAGGTGAGCAAGCGACGGTAAGCTCACCATCCTCAATGGACAGCGGAACAGTCTCGGACGCGTTGTTGTATCAGTGCCGCTGTCGCTTTTTTATGTGATATAAAAAATAGCTGAGTGCCCTACCATAGTCATACGGATCTTCTGTGAGGCCGTGTATCTCCGGACGAGCCTGCGCCCACGCATCGGCAAAAGTTACTGCTTACCGCAGGCAAAAGGACATAATATTCTCTCGTCGAGGCGTCAAATGCCATTTGAAAGTCGCGGCCGTGCCGTGAGAACATCCCCCCCGACCTGGACGCTTCCGACGCTCTCTCCTTCCGTTCAACGTGACGTATCAATTTCGGACGCACTCGCCGGCTACTGAACGGAAGCGGCTCGTTGTGCCGCCATTTTGCATCCGCGCGGCGGCGCGTGCGCAATTGGGCCAAATTCCCATGTTCCCCCGTTGGGTACGACTAACACCAAGATGTAGACGGCCCGGGGGTGGAAAATTTTAAATATGGTTTAGTGTAAACTCATAACATAGCTTCTATCTGCTTTAATCATATTATCGTATATCCTTATTGCACCACCTACGTAGTATACGTTGCCTGGAAGAGATCGCTATGAAGCGATAAGGCTGACAAATTGTACATTGCATAAATTTGTTGTTCTATTGTCACTTTTATGTATGTTTTCATTTGTGGTGGACAATAAAAGTGTATTCATTCATTCATTCATTCATAATATAGTTCGTCTTAAACGGTTTTAGATGAACTTTTTTAAGAGAGGTAACGGTAAGCAAGAAACTATCCTCTCCGTGTTGGGTCTACGGTTATGGGGTCCACTGTGAAACTGTTGTACCTCGGAAGAGCTGATTTCGAACCACCAAAGCATGTTTTTAAATCTCTATCCTATTTTATGAAATAATATTAGTACCACGTGAAGTTCAGTAAACTCGTGTCAGCCGCTAGCGTGTAGGCCCTTGGCTGATACTATTTATACTAGAATAACTAATAAGAATTCTTGTATTTACGCAAAACTATTTTATAGCAAGTTTTGCCACGATTTAAACTGACTTTAAAAAAGGGGCTGTTCTCAATTCGGTTTCATGTTTATTTAATGATTGTTACCTCAGACCTGATTGTCATTTAAGAATACATATAAAACAGATTTTAAGAATTATTATTGCATTGGATACGATTTATCTAACGTATGAGGTTTTTGAAGTAGGTTTTGTTTTTCGGAAGTAAAAACGTTATTGAAGAGGGATGATGAGATAACTGTTAATTTTGGCTACTGCCGCGTGGTGTGAATCGGGCATTAGGATGTAATACGCCGGAGCTCCCCAGCGTTTTGTCACCTCCGGCGCATCACTTCCCTTATGGTTCTCCGCATGTGCAAACTCACACGCTTAAACCGAACGGGGTGGGCACAGATGGCTAGTGAGGTCCTAGTATTTGCTATTATCTCGAAAATGTTCACGATGATTTCCTTCACCGTTGAGCACGCGATAAGTAAGCAATTAAAATAAACAATTTCATTGGTGTCGGCATCGGGGATTGAAATTGGGTTGCTCGAGTGTATTTTACTAAAAGCGGTCGCCCGTGCAATAAGCTATCACGGCACGTGTAAAACTATGAAAATTCAAGTAATATTTTAGGTTATTTTTCTGTAGCATTATACAATATTTGGGCTCTAATGAAAAGTCAGAAATTTGTAGGTTACAGCGTTCTTTATGCACATAACGTCATAAGAAAACAAGAATTTTTAGTAAAAAAAAAAACAAAAACGACTTCAAATATCTCGCTCTTTATTCATTTTATAATTGATTTCCAGGAGTTCCCTAAGTATCTCCGGAGCCCAAGATCCAATACCAATGAAATTAATATGGGACCACGTGGGAAGCACCAGCTTTCAAATAAAAAAGAATCATCAAAATCGGTTCACTCACTCGAAAGTTCTGAGGTAACAGACATAAAAAAAATACAGTCCAATTGAGAGCCTCCTACTTTTTGAGGTCGGTTGAAAGAGCAACCTGTTACGTTGAAAACAATACAGCAATACGGCATTGCCTTCACATCGTAGTGCTCTGCTCACACTCTACAAGCACGGGCGTGAAGGAAAAAAATTCAGTGACGGAAACAATGATTGTAAAACTTATTTACTGCACTGCGTCAAAGGCGCGCCCTTTGAAGTTACTCGTAAAGCGGTGTCTCTTTTAAACGGCCTCAAGTTTAGTGTCTTTAAGCATATTCCGTGATACTCTATCCACTTTTAATGACGCCTCTGCCCCGGAAGCGAATGTTCGTAACAAGCCCGAATGAACGACTCTTTGTTAGCTCTTACGAGCGTTTAGAAAAATAAATATGCATCCGTATGTCATCACCGGCCTAATTTTTAAAACTATTGTTACGTGAAGTCCTGCTTTGTGGAAAAAAATGAAGTAATGTTTAATTATTTAGACATAGTATATAATACTTATAACAATACTATTTTAACTGGAATCACTAAGTCCTACACAAAAAAAGTTGTGTAGGACTTAGTGATTCCGGTTATAGTTAAATTCTAACTGGGAGTGTCCATGTACAGAAAATGTTTTGTGTCAATTACTCTTTTATAAAAAAAATGTAGAAAATGAGTCAGTTTATCACCACCGCATGAATCGAACCCTCGTCTTCCGTATTCGCGCCCAAACGCTTCAATCATAATATGTAAAAGAAATTAAAATCAACCAAGTATTAAGTATATTTTATTTCATTGGAACTTCTTTTTCATGTTCACTATGCATTTCCATTATCACCATAAATGCCTTGCATCACTTTTAATTCACGTTTTCTAGTTCAATGATACGTGTGTTGAATACTATTCACGTTCCTCTTTAGATAGAGATGAAGTCTCCAACAGCTGGAGATGTATTGTATTTTGTATTTTGTGTAGAAGGTGTTGGGTAAGTCTCAACGTCCACTGCCACCTAGAAAGATCTATCGTAGTATTCCCTTCGAGAACATTGCCCCCTTATTGTAGGATAACACATATAAATTCCGAACAATCCGAAACAACTGTTTGTGGGTCACAAATAGCTGCCATGTGGGAACCCACGACCCCCGACGCCGAAGCCAATGCCTTGGCAACTGCGCCACGGAGTCAAAAGCTTGAGATGCTTCGCGCTATTCGTAAATCATTCAACCGCGCAATCGGATAGACGGATGTCCTGAGCAACTCGATTGCACGCGTCCTTGCCGGCCATATCGAGCGCGTGGCCGCAGTCTAGACAAATATAGCGCAACTCGAATCTAGGCCGGTTCTATTGTCGTTACTGATTGTATAAATGGACTCGCGTACGAGTTAATTCGAGCAGTTCCGATGTTTAGCAAATCGTGTTCCGTTCACGTCTCCGGCGCGTACAAGACATCGAAATTTTCGCCCGTCAGCCATCTAGCTATTATGATTAATTGATATATGAATTTTATCGTATTTAAGCGCTATAGGTTGCTTAGTTAGTTTCATGTATTAACACGAATGGGTGCTCAAATTGGAAACGTAAAAAAATATTTTTTACTTGAATTTAGCATAGAAAATCGTAAATGGTTAGCTCCAAATTTAACGCGTATGGATAGCGAATTTAAAACGTAATCTTATTAATATTTCCAAGTCTAAATTAGAACAAGAGCCGTGATAGCTCAGTGTCCGGGCGCTCGCCTTTAATTCAATATACTCGAGCAATCTGAGTTCGATCTCCGGTGCCGACACCAATGAAATTGTTAATTTCAAGTGCTGAATTATCACGTGCTCAGCGGTGAAGGAAAACATCGTGAGGAAACCTGCATATTTTCGAAATAATAATAAAAATAAAATATTTCGAAAATATGTGAAGTCCGCCAATCCGCAGTGGGGCCGCGTGGTGGACTATGCCCCGATACCCTCTGTACAGAGGAGGCCTTTGCCCGGCAGTGGAACATGTATAGGCTGATATTTTACTTTTACTTTTTCTAAATTAGAACGTATTCTTGTAGTAGAACGCTTGACCAGTTCAAGTATCTGTTGGCTAGCATCGTTTACGTACGGGTGCAAATTTCACAAATATTTAGCAATATTTAACATTAGTCTGTAAGCCTACTGTACTCATTGCTTGGTGTTTAGGCTAGTATTGCGATTTGACGACCGCGTAGCTCAGTGGTTTTACAAATGATTTAAACTCTTGATTCGAATTTTGGCTTCGAGTTGATAATTTGTACTTTCATTACGAATTGCTTGATAAGTCTTAATAGAACAATAAAATCTCTATAGACATGTCCTGTCACTATACTCGTAAGCCGTTTATTCAGATAGCCCATCAACTCTTCAGCCGGAGACGCGTTCACAACTTTCGGAAACCGTAATAGGAGATTATTTTAGAAGGATGTGTGGAAATGACTCTTGCTCTGTACTTGCAACACCACTGGCTGCTGCTGATTTTATAAGTTTGTATAATTACATCACAAAAAAAATAACAAAAAGAAAAAGACCGCGCAGTTTCTTGCCGGTTCTTCTCTGTGCATGTCTAGTTTAGGGAACCGGTGGTAGATTTTTTGTTGACGTTCAATAAGAGCTTAAGTTAAGCCTATATTGAATAAAAATACTTTGACTTTGAAGTTTGATTGGTGGTAATGTTGTCACGCATTCCTCGCCGCAGCGACGCACGATGGCATCGGACGGTAACGGTCACCACTCGCTAACTGCTCTATTACTTTATCCGCGCGCCAGGAATGCGTTCATTCGCGGAGGCTTGCTCCCGTTCTCAGCATAACGGTTCCCAACTGAGTAACTAAGTAAAGACATCGCGCGTTTAGTAAAACACACGCTAAGCTATAGGGAACACTAAGTTATTTATTTATTTCAACTTTATTGCCTCACCTTAAGCTAAGGGCTACAATGGGCGGACTTAATGCTTAAGGGTCTCTACCAGCCAACCTTCGTCATGGTGAAAAGCAGATGCCAGGTGCTAACCGAAGTGTTTATGTGTCGAAACTAAAACGTCTGTGATTTCAAGATTTTGGGAACACGCACACTATCATGATTATTCACTAATTAGGATTATGCGTTTAAATCTTGATGCATCCGATTTTAAAGCGACATGATGAAGTTTGCATGGTCGCTTTGCAATCAACTTCATGATGGTCGCTTTGCAATCAACTTCATGATGGTCGCTTTGCAATCAACTTCATGATGGTCGCTTTTTGATTGTCGATGAGCGAGCGCACTGTGAAAATTTTGCTTTAATATTTTTTACAAACGCACCAAAAGAAGTATGAGCTCAAAATAATTTGCCCAGTTTTCTCGTTTAAATTTGGTTTTAACTTCCAACGAGCAGGATACGCCCGGAGATAACGCCCGGTTTCTGAAACACTGATCATCGGAAATTAACTAATCAGCTGTCAAATGGCTTGTCAAATGTCATTAGAGTTGCCTACGGTGGTAGGGCCACGCAGCAGCCTCGGCTGTTGCTCGAATGGGCAGGCTCGTCCGGGTAAGTACCACGACCTCGCAGAAGACCGGCGTAAAGTGGAAGTATGATACTTTCGCGTTTCGTCTGGTGAGTGAGGGGGCCAGAGACCAGTTCTCAAAAGGTTGTCAACACATCTGGAACCGTCGGGTGTAGCAGATGTCCATGGGCGGCGGTATTCACTTAACATCAGGTGAACCGTCTGCTGGCTTGGCAACTTTTCACATAAAAAACAAAAGGATGATTCAACACTTTGCAATGATCAGAATGATCTTCATAATGATTAGAATGATCAATTAAAAGAGTGTAATTAAGAAAAACACGATCAGCGTTTCAAAAAACCGGACGAGTGTTCGAATGTGACACGAAACTGACGTAAATCTCTTCTACCAATGAAAAACGAATTTTCTCCACCCACTTATGCTGAGTTGATGCGTTGAGTGCGGAACAATCTGTCGACGGCCCAATCTCTTCTCAGTGTACGTTACCATGTTAAAGTGTTGACAGCCTCTGCCCACGTGTAATGTAAATATCCTCGCTGCCGCTTCGTTGCGTCTGCTTCGAGAGCTTCGGAGAGCGTGAATTTAAAATTTGGACCTAACGGAACCTGGTAGTTTTTCGATAGGTGTTATGTATATATATATTTTTGTATGAGAAGTTTGCAAATTGCTGTCGAACTTACAAATAAAGGGACTGGGTTCAAATTAGATTTTCTACATGCAAGAATCAATCTTCAGACTATCACTGGCTCATGAGCACAGGCATACGAGTGTTTTTTTTTTGGATTTGTATTTTTTTTGTTTTACACATTTGCGTATGTAATGCTTTACTGAGTTTACTTCGTTTTATTATTATGAAATTATTATGCAAACTGTTTATGAAGTCAAATATTTTGTCATAATGTATATATAAAAAATCATGACATTCTTAAGAAGACAATTACTCGTGTATGTACAGTACATTAGAATAACACAATTGAAAAAGATATGGATGTAAATGATCTATTTTTTCCAAAAAAATATTCAAAAATATGCTAAATAAACGAAATATTCGAAAAAATAATTAGTATGTTATTTTTAACACTTTTTTTCGCAACGATTTTACACCAAGGCTTCTCAGGTTCACAAATTGATTTGGCCAAAGGGTCTTACAAAAGTTCTTTTGTGCGAATAATATTTCTTTAAGTCTAATATTATTCAAATATTGAGATTTTTATAATGCTACGCCCCATTTTGTCATTTTTATAAGTAAATTTTAGCGGAAAATATTAACATCGAGACTCCCCTTTACCTTAACCAGTAAATGAAAACGTATATTGAGTTAATCACTTGGCGTTTTCGCTTTCAAGCCCCTTTCACTTATGGCTTTAAGCCTCTTGTGGTAGAACGCAGCAAATCAGCAATCGATGTTTCAAATATCGTTTTACAACGATAATTGTAACACAAGATGTAGCCATTGCTATTTGAAATTTTTATACTGCTAATCTACATAGATTAAAAAATAAGTACAAACTTAAGAAGAAACATTAAAAGTAGAAAAATTATTAGATACTAGCTTATCATACTCGGCTCCGCTCGTGTTGACGCCCTTAAATATCTTTTTTTTTTAATTTTTTTCTTTACTAAAATAATCCTATGTCCTTTTTAATACCTCTAAGAATATGTGTAGAAAAGTTCATGATAATTCGTCTAGTAGTTCTCACGTGAAAGCGTAATAAACAAACATATATTCACATTTATAATATTAGTAGGGACTAGTTGTTAACCGCGACTTCGCTCGCGCGGCCAAACTGAATTAACAATTAGTTTTTTATTACCTATACACCAGAATATCTTGTAGATAGCTGAATTTTTTCCTACTTAGTTGACACTTATCATTATCTATATTTTGGACGATTTACATAATATCTCTATAAATGAAATCCTGTGAAATGTGTTATTCTGATGTATAAGTTATATTATTGTAAAGTTTCATTAAAATCTATTCAGTAGGTTTTGCATGAAAGAGTAACAAACATCCATCCATACGTACAAACTTTCGCGTTTATAATATTAGTAAGGGTTAAGAGACCATTAACACGGCTTTCTAACAAACGAACCTTGCCCGCAGACTACCTCGAGCCACCAAAGAGCCAGGATGTACAGGATCTCGCCGAACAACCCAGTCAGGCGGCGCCTCTTCGCCGACGTGCTGGACGACCAGGCGAGGGTCGAGAACTTCGCCAACGCCCTGCAGGAGTCCAGCGCAGAGGAGAAGCTGGAGAAGATGCGCAAGTGGAACTTCGACTTCGAGAAGGAGCTCCCTCTAGAAGGAGTCTACAAATGGTACCGCGTCGGCGATCCGGACTGGATTGGCGTGCAAGCGCCGAAGTTCACCTGCGTCGCCAAGTCCATGGACGAGGACGGCTTCCTGCCGCTCAAGTACGAAAACGAACTCACGCCGAGAAGCGATAGAGTCGAAAGTCAAACGCTTCCGTTGAGGAAGAGAAGAAAAGAGATGATAGAGAATCTGTTGGCCGAGAGAGCCGTGAAGCGGAAGATCACCTTCTAACTGGAGTCCTGGATTGGGATAACATACAGCATTAAAGTTTAATTTTAGATGACTGACGTCTCTATGGCGTTTTTATCGAATATTGTTCGTTAGTAAATACCCTTTAGTATTTTGTCTTGCTCCTTTCGCGTCTCTATGACCTTAAAGAAATATTTCTTTGTTACATCTTCAAGTCAATGGCGTAAACAATACTAATTATTGCATTATTCTATTCTTATATTTATTCGATTCTTCATGACAATACATGATTTAATTAATACAACATTTACTGAAAATAAAATTAACTCGTAATAAAGGTGCCATGATTTAATAATATGATAAATACATAAGTATTTAAGTAGTGTTATCGATTTTAAAAACATCTCTTTATGTTATTTATTTCATTGTGAGGATGAATCAAAATTGAACCAGGATAATAAGACTGTAAAATCGTAAATGTAGTATTTATTTAGTTTATTGTACATATTGACCATCGGTTTTAACACAGTGACATACATTCTGGTCGGCGTGCATCAGTGGCTGACGTATCATGTACGAAGGTCAAATTTTGTGTGTCCGAAAAAGGTATTGTTTAAAATTAATTGATATTATTAATTTTATCTTATATTTCGCGTCAATCATTGTACGTATAATATGTAATTTCGAAATTAATCCGGGATTCGAACCCGTAAAACTTTTAATTGTAAAATTATCTTGTAAAGGACGAATGTGATCACCGAACTTTATATTAATGTATTGTATTTATAGTGAGATTAGTCGTATTTTAAACGGTATTGGCATACTTTGGTTCTTTTTAACCATAAACTAACAGTAAAACTAATTTAATACGTGCATAGACGCAGCAATCGCAAACCAGTCCTACGTTAGTGGGTCTTATAAGACTGTTAATTTGTCTTAGTTAAATTTAAACTATAAGAATATTAAGTTGTAGGAATAGTTTAAAAGTCACTGCCGTTGTTAAAACAAACTAATTTTCGGATTTTATCATATTTGACTTTGACAGGCAGGCAGACAGACTGGTCAGGTGACTCTAAAAAGTTGCCAAAAATTAAAGTTAAAATAAAAGCTATAAAGTCCGTAAAATACTTTCATATAACAATGTTTAGTATCGCGTAAATAGAAAAAAAACGTTATGTTTTTGATATCCATCGTCAGCCATTTAGTTTCGAGTTTAATTTACGTCAAATATAGTTCTACAGTTTCCTATTATAATGTTGAATAAGCCCATTTGATTTATTGATACAGAATTCTGTCCCGTTTTTGACCTGACGTCTGCTATTTCAGTTTTAACAAAACAAGTTTTATAAGATTATCTTTCTAGACAACGTTTGGACATTCCAGTTTATTTATCAAAAGCGACTTACATATTAGATTGACGCCCGGTTTCTGACACACTGATCATCTTAGATGATCAATCTGATCATTAATAAGATCATTCTGGTCGATTCAGAAAGTTTAACCATCCTGAATTTGAAAAGCCATTTGACAGCTGATTAATTAACACCTGCGAAGATCAGCGTTTCAGAAATCGGGGTAAAAGTGTGTATTATCCGAAGAATTTTAACTATTACTAACATTTAAAAATAGTATTAGTCAAGCCTAAAGGCGAATCTAGTCTAGTTTCCTAACAAAGAACGAACCAGAATATGCCTTTGCCATTTTATAGCTCTTAAAGTATTTAGTATAGTAACATATTAGGTTTGTATCGGGAGAGTTATTTTGACAGCGAATACATTATAGTTCGTTATTAAAATAACATTCCTTTTATTTTATTTTAATACATTTTCACATTTTTTGTATACTTCGAAACAGCTATATTCCAAAGTCCGCGTATTCTCACAAATGTTGTGGGTTAAACTAACAATATTTATCTCTCGTCCGTATCCGTATGCCTTAAATAATTTATTTCACCGTTCTTTTGTATATTATTGTTTGATGTATCGTAATTTATTCTTAAATCCCTAATATTATTGTATCCGTTTATTGTAATTAGAACTTGTACAATAAAAATCATGGGCATTTTTATCAGTTCTCCTTTTCTCATTAACATCCCCTTTAACGCTGAGTTTTCATTGGAGATAAAAAGAAAAGAAAATGTTAACCGATACAGGTACGTACGCAAAACTAAATTTGACGAAATAATTTTGATGACTCCGTGGCGCAGTTGCCAAGGAATCTATCAGCTTCGGCGTCGGGGGTCGTGGGTTCGATTCCCACACTAGACAACTATTTTTGTGACCCACAGATAGTTTTGCATCTGGATGTTTGTCCGCGTGATATCTAGGTTTGTAAAACGTCCTTACAACACATGATAATGTTATCCCAAAGTAAGGGCAATGTTTTTTTTTTAAAAAGAAAGAAACAAAACTGAAATCACAGAAGAAATGACTAAAGCAATAAGGGATGTACACGTTAAATAAAATAATGAAACTGAACCGTAACTTTGAAACAAACCAATATATTAAAACAATATGAAGTATCGAAATAAAATGTCGCTTTACCAGTCAACGAGTTTAGCAACACCGCAATATGCGAACAAGAAACTGTTCCTTAATGTGAAAAGTTATCTAGCAGGCGGATCACCTGATGTTAAGTGAATACCGCCGCCCATAGACACCTACAATACCCTGTGGCGTGCAGATGCATTGAAAATCTTCAAAAAAGTGGGCCCCGATTACCTCCGACGAAACTCAAAAGTTTTATACTTCCATTACATGCCGGTGTTCTATGAGGCCGTGGTGGCAAGGCCACGCAACAGTTTTCACTGTTGCACGAATGGGCAGTGCCGTCCGGGTAATTACCACGACCTCACACAAGACCAGCGTAAAAAAGAAGTGTTACAATTCTGCGTTACGTCTGGTGCGTGCGGTAGCCGGGGCCCACTTTATTAAATGGTGGCAACGCATTTGCAACCCATTTAACCTCAGGTGAACCGCCAGCTCGTTTGGAACTTTTACACATTTTACGTAAGTAGTAAGAAAAGATCTTCCCCGGGTGTGCCTATTGCCCATTCGTGCAGAAGGAGCTGTTGTGGCCCTGCCACAGTATAAATATATACGTAACTAAATGCAAAGTGTATAAATATATATATACACTTTGCATTTAGTTGAACTGAATCCCTCTGCCTGCACAATCTTTTGGCAGCAATGGGCCACATAGGTCTGTCACTTCCCTATCATCAATTTCGGGTTGAAAACGAATTCATCATCAATTAGAATTTACGATTAACTATTTTATATATAACATAGTGGGCATTATTTAGTGTCAATATATTGACGTGTGACAAATCGTAACGCGTACGAGAACGTGTAGAAGTTAGCTGAGGAAGATATCAAACAGTTATCGTATTCAAGGCTAAACAATGGTTGAGGGTATGGACAGACGGAATCGGAATGATTTATTGTTTTCCGCTTCGAGAGGGCGAACGCATCCGGCCCCCGCTCATACTAAATGCACCCTCAGTTCAACTGGACGTCAACGTTCGTGAATCACAACTGAGTTATGTTGAAATAAATATCTTGTAAGTAATGTAGTATTTTCTTTCACGTGTTTATTTGAATACTGATAAATGTAACGCGTAATTGTTTTATTCGTGGTATGCTGTTAGTTATTTTAATAGTATCTTATATCTTGATTATCTTATGTATAAAGTAATGCTATGAGTTATGTTGAAGTTGATAACAGTACAAGTTTGTTTCACGTGTTTATGCGAAATGGTCCCATATACGTTTCATATAGATCTGATGATGATTTTCGGAGATAGCAACGGAACTCTTCGAAATAAGATTGGAAATCATTGGTGCTATCGCATATATATATGCATTGTATTGCATGTAACGTTGTAATATTTACGTACATCATTTTCAGTCGGTTCTCTTTTTTGTTAAAAAACTTTCTTGTTCCAATTATTGACAGATAATAGCTGTGATGAAATCCACGAATTAACACCAACGAATTAACACCATTTTAAAAAGGATTTCAGTTGTTAAACTCCTTTTTAAGATCACCGCATCTTTCGCTAGGGTCAGACTGAACGTTAGAGTTCCTAACGCAGAGCTGTCGGCAGCTCAGGTTCGCTATGGCATTAGGAAGTCTCACAATAATTTAGTTAGAGCCGGTCTATGCAGCAGACACTTGAAGCATCATCTTACAGTTTTCATGTAATTGGATCATTTAATTCAAATCTAACCAACGAAATTTAGTATGTTTGGGGGCAAATATTTAGAACCAAAGGACGTGACGTTATTTTATTATATTATCGTTATTACATTTAATGGCGGATTTTCCATAAGGTCCAATAGGCCTGAGCCTAGGGCGGCCACGTGACAAAAAAATCGCTGATGATAACAAGATATATGATGGGCCCTGAAAAAGGGGCGGCTGCAACTTACTAGATGGGCTGGGGCCTGGGGCGGCCAAGACTAAAAATCCGCCACTGATTACATTTGTGGGTTGATTACGTAAAAGATTCGTTCATTCATTGATGACGTAATAATTAACTTAGTAGATAGTAGAGCTGTCTCTTGGGTTATTGAGATGTAGAGTCGGTAATCCCTACTCTAAGTCACTCTACCTACCTCACTCTCAGGTGAAAGCAAAAGTGTAAATACTTTCGTCGGCAGTCTTCTGTGAGGCCGTGGTAAATCCCCGGTCACGCTAGCCTACTCATCCAACAGGAACTGTTAGATTGAAAATCTGTTAGATTTAAAAGCTAACATTAATAATCTATGATGCAGCAGTCTTCTGTTGCACGTATGTGCAGGCTCGTCCGGGGAAGTACCACGGCCTCAGACCGGCGTGAATATTAAAAAAGTAAAGTAACAGCCTATACATGTCCCACGGCTGGGCAAAGACCTCCTCTATAAAGAGGGTATCAGGGCATAGACCACCACGCGGCCCCACTGCGGATTGGCGGACTTCACATATCTTCGATTTTGTTTTTGTTATTATATCGAAAATATGCAGGTTTCCTCACGATGTCTTTCTTCACCGCGGAGCACGTGATAAGTCAGCACTTAAAGTTAAAAACTTCATTGGTGCTAGCCCCCGGTGCTAATCGAACTCAGGTTGCTCGAGTATATTGAATTAAAGGCGAGCGCCCGGACATTGAGCTATCACGGGGTGAATATTATACTTTCGCGTTTTGTCTGGCGAGTGACCTCACTAACGAAATGTGGGCCCTGATTACCTATCAGGGCCCACATTTTATTGGTTGGTAAAGCATCAAGTCAAGTGTTGAACTTGGGCGACGGTAATCACTTGACAAAACGAACCACTTCTATCATATGAGAGCATCGAAACGAGTGGAAGCTTAGTTTTAATAGTATAAAAAAAGAGCAACAGACAATCTAACTATTCGTAATCGAGTTCAGAGAAAAGCAACCATCAGGTTTGAGTACATAAAAAAACCAGTCAGCTTTTCCTGTACCCCAATTTGTATGGCATTAGCTTATTCCTTTTATTTGTACACTCGATTGCGATGTACTCCCGAAGGATATGGATCCTAATTTCGATTTAATCGCAGCGAAGGATAAAGACTCACCACCTGCCCAGTGGCCGGAACGCACAGATTGGATCGACGCCCGTGCCCGTTCGATCCTCGGCCATTCCCACGGGACCTCCGGCGGGTATGACGTCTGACCCCTTTTTTCGGACCTTGCGCCTCCTCACTCCGATTCGTATCACGTCGAATGTGGGACGTGAAACAAATCTACAGCCAGTGCTTCTCAAACTGCGCTCCGACAACAGCTCCGCTAAACCTGAATACATGTTACTAGGACATTACACAAAAGAAGTAACTAGTTATCTTCTATATAAAGGCAGAAAACGTTTTCCTACTTCATGTAATTTTATATTCAAGATCAAAATATCAAACAAACGTTATTCTAACACATTTTTTCTGTTCCATTGCATAAGAAGTTTGAGAAACACTACTTTGCTGTCTTGTAACTTGAATGGCGCCACCAACATTATGTTTGTTTGTTGTGTTGTAAGTTGCTTTTGATTCGGTTGGCATGGTTACCATGGTACTAGCTTCGACGTCGTGGCTTGAGACTCCGAAGTGCACACTAGATGACCTACAAATCGCCGCTAGGTTATTGTTTTACTGTGGTAGGGCCGCGCAACGGCTTTGGCTGTTGCATAAGTGGGCAGGATCATTCGGGGAAGTACCACAATCTCACAGAAGACTGACTGACCGACTGAGATGGGAATAGAATTCGTTTGCTTTCTGTCTAGTAAACCCACAGGTGGCAGTTTCCTAGCCCACCTTTCTAGTAGACGTGTAGGCGGCGGTAATTACTTAAAATCAGGAGAAGCGCCTTCTATGTTTCTTAAATAAATATATCTGAGATCGTAGGTTCGAGTAACGCGTCCGAATTTACGTAATGCGACCGCATAAAGATTAAAAAAAATGTGGAATATGTCATTGAGATTGATTGATTGTGTGAGCCGTGATAGCTCAGTTTTAATTCAATAAAATTTTATGACTATAAAGTTTGCTTCGATTAGTTCTATGCCACAAGTGCTTTTGCGTGTTTGTGTCTTTGTCGTGCGGAAAGAATAAAGTCATTTGCAATAATATACTGAAATCTGTATATTGGTTTTGTTGAATTTTATAAAAGGTGCGTTCGCGTACACGCGATTGTTTCCAACCGACATCGGAGAAACGGACAGAATCTGATAGCGCTGCGTAAAATCCTTTAACAAGGTCCCGCTTCTTATTTTCCACTTCCTTAACCGGGCAGGGGTGACTCCCGACAAAACCGAATCTCATGCATACTAATGAAGGGGAAATCCTGCCAACGCCGCGCAACGATTCCCCGGGGGAAGCAATTTGTTCATTTCAATAACACACTGACGTTTAGTTAGAGGGTAAAATCATCATCATAAAATTTCTCAGATTATCTAATCACTTATCAGGAACTGTAGTCACTAATAATTGCCTGCCAGGAGCTCCTCTACTGCACTTAGTTGATGCGGCTATGAAGGCAAGAGTAAATATTCAAACCACCTTAATAATAATGTATGGAAATAGCACTTATTTAAAAAAACAGGACATAATTCAAAGTTTCTCCTTACTGTCTAACCTCAAAGTAAAAAAAATTATGTGGTGTGCGTTCCCTTACATTTCATCCACAGAAAAATGTAATGATAGTATATATAAACTTAATCAATTATTACATCACTTGACATGCCGTTGTAATGACATATTTAAATTTTTTGACATAAACAAATTTATTAATGTACTTACTATGACTCAAGATACTGTGTATCTGCTAATTAGACATAAGCACAAGATAGCTACTTTATTAGCATACAATATAAATAATGACAATCCAGTATTAAATAGATTGTCTGTTAATACTGAAGCTAACACTTTTTTAGTAATGTAAGGCTGACAAAAGAGAAACAAAACATACAAACTATTAGTTTGCTATATCAAAATATAAACCGTTTCTCTGGCAAGATCCTCGATGTAGAACTTTTAATTGATAAGTGTAATTTAGATATCTTGTGCTTTACTGAGACATGGCTCAATGATATGACATTTAGTATTAAAAATTATTCAGTAGCCAGTAAGTTCAACAGAGTGACTGCTATGGGAGGGGGATGTCTTATCCTACATAAAAACACTGAAACTGAAAGAAAGAAGTGATATTGTTGCATACTCTGTTGAACGACAATGTGAGATTGCTTGTGCAGAGACAGAAGGTTATCTAATATTATGTGTATATAGACCTCCCTCATCAGACCTTTTGAACTTCTTGTTAATTATTGAAGATGTATTAAGTAAAATATTTAAAATGAAAAAGCAAATAGTCATCTGTGGTGATTTCAACATTGATTTACTAACAGATTCACCGGACAAAGTAAGATTCCTATCACTTCTTGAAACTTTTAATCTTAATTGCATCTTCAATGAACCAACAAGAGTAACCCCATCCTGTGCCTCATGCATAGACAATATAATAGTAAATTGTAAAATTATTAATCAAGTTATATTGAGTGGCGTTAGATCAGATCATAAAGCCCTTAAAATAGACCTTCACATTAATAACAAGAATAATTTTATTATAAATGAATGTAGGCTTGTAACTAAAAACAGAATTAAGAAGTTCAGGGATAGTATTAAGTAAAACTACCCTTGCTAAAATTAACCCTTAATGATCCTGATGGCGATTTCAATACCCTGTCTAGTATGATTAGCAGAGAATTTAATAAAAATCTGCCAAAAAGGAAAACAATAACCTTAAGCAATAAACTTTCTTTCAGTGAATGGGCGACTAAGGGAATAAGAAAGAGCAGGGATAGACTTTATGATCTATACAGTATAAAATCATTAACTTGTGATCCTAACTTCCATGAATATGTTAGGAAGTTTTCAAAAATCTTTAAAAGGGTCTGTATTATAGCTAAGGCAGACTACTTGAGCAATAAAATAAAATTATCCGCAAACAAAGTTAAAACTACTTGGAAAGTGATAAATAAGGAAACTGGTAAAAATAATGAAAAAAAAGTGGATTTTACATTAAATGTACATGGCAAAGTTATAAAAGAAATTATAAAGTTGCAAATGAGTTTCTAAATGTTTTCACAAATATACCTTTTGAAACTACTAGGCATTTGCAACACTGTTCCACAGAGGCAGCAACATATCTGGATAAATATGTTAATATTTCCATTCCAGATTTTAAGTTTTGCCACATAGGTCCGAATGATATTATTAAGACTTTTAAAAATTTAAATAAAAAGAAAACTGAAGACCTATGGGGCGTATCAATATGGGCATTAGATCTTATAATCTGTGATATTGCTTGTTTATTAGCCCAAATATTTAATTTATGTTGTAGATATGTTTAGATACTTGCAAATTTCCAAAATTAATGAAATGTAGCAAAATTGTGCCAGTTTATAAATCAGGCTCAAGAGAAAATTCCTCTAATTACCGACCCATTTCTATCTTACCAGCCTTAAGTAAAATATTTGAGAAAATCATTCTGGATCAGATGCTATTTCACTTTAATAAATATGAAATCTTGAACCAGCATCAGTTCGGATTTACGAAAGTTAGATCTACAACTGATGCTGGAGTAGAATTAATTTCGCATATCCTGCAGTCTTGGGAGACGTTCCATGACACCATTGGTGTGTTCTGTGACCTCTCCAAGGCATTTGACTGTGTAGATCATAAGATTCTTATTAAGAAATTGGAATATTATGGTATTCGAAAATCTGCCATTAATTTTGTTTCCTCATATCTTAGCGATCGGGAACAAAAAGTAATTATAAATGGTATACTGTCATCGGGATCAATAGTACAAATGGGTGTTCCTCAGGCATCGATCCTGGGCCCATTCCTGTTTTTAGTCTACATAAATGATTTGCCATATGTGGTAGAAAAAAGGTCTCAAATCGTTTTGTTTGCGGATGACACCTCACTGTTGTTTAAGGTTAATAGGAAAGATGTTACATTAGAGCAACCAAATGAAATACTAAGTGTCGTGTCGGGCTGCGACCAATAATTTACTTTTGAACGCCACTAAGACTAAATGTATCAGATTTTCATTATCAAAGCTGTCTCACAAACCAGGAATCTTTATTGATGACAACATCCTACCTCTTGAGGATTCAACGGCATTCCTTGGAATATGCATTGACTCCAAGTTGCAATGGGGAGCGCATATAGATAAATTAGCTAAAAAGCTCAGCGCTGCCGTCTTTGCCATACGCAAGATCAGGCACTAACAAACGCGGCAACAGCTAAATTAGTTTATTATGCTTACTTTCACAGTATTATGTCTTATGGTGTCTTACTTTGGGGTTCCGCATCCGGTTTAGACACGATATTTGTACTGCAAAAGCAAGCGATACGGGCTGTCTATGGCCTGGGTCCACGTGAGTCCCTTCGGCATATTTTTAAAAAGATAAACATCTTAACGCTCCCGTCGCTATACATACTTGAGAACATCATGTATGTACGAAATAACTTACACCCTTCTGTGAGGTCGTGGTACTTCCCCAGACGGATCTGCCCATTCTTGCAACACTCAAGTCTGTTGCGTGGCTTTCGTTTCCGATTGAGTGTTTGAGGGGAAATTATTTTGAGTTATTTTATGTGTTCCTTTACACAATTTCGCTGTTTACTGTTTTCCCAAAACGATATGATAGTTTTCCAAGCTCGACGGCTTCAAAACTCACCGTCTCAAGTTAACTTCCGTGCAAAAAGTCACCGCCATCTTCAGCTATATCAATATTCATCGCGAATACATATCGGGCGATATATGTTCGCATGCTAAGCAATATTATCGAACCTGAAACCGGCATTACTCTTACCGCTTAGCGATCGTTCGGGTAACGCATGGCAACCAAACCTCAATGAAATACGTTAACCTATCGACTTACGTATCAAATGACGTCCGCCACACGATACGCGGCGTACGTTACAACTGGTAATCGAACCTGATACCGCAGTCGGAGACGGACGTCCGCGCCAGACGCAAGGGGCCCTTGCGGGGCTTCCCGCACCTCATGTTGCGAGCATTTACGTGTTTCTAGAGTCGGTTAGTATACGTAAAAATAAAAGGGTAAAACTAAGACGTAGACGAGCGTTAGAGCAAAGCGGTTTGCAGCGAGAGAGATTTTTCTTAGGGTTCCGCACTCAAAAGGGTAAAAAAAAACCCTATTACTAAGATTCAGATTTTTTTCTGTTTGTCTGTCTATCCATCTGTCACCATGGCGGTATCTCATGAACCGTGATAGTTAGACAGTTGATGTATTTCTGTTGCCGCTATAACAACAAATATTAAAAAACAGAATAAAAAAATAGTTAAGTGGAGCTCCCATACAACAGACATGATTTCTTTTGCCGTTTCTATAGACAATGGTACGAAACCCTTCGTGTGCGAGTCCGACTCGCACTTGGCCGGTTCTTTAATCTGAAAAGTTGTAAAGCGAGCAGGCGGTTCACCTGATTTTGATATATACAACATCTGAAGGCTTCGAGATACGTTTAAAACCTTTAAATAAAGATGGCCCCTTACCCAACTCACCAGACAGGGAGCTGCTGTAAATATCTGTATGTCAATTTTATTTTGTCCTTTGTTCCCGTTTTTCTCCGATATAGTAAATAAATAAATACTTTTTATCCCACAACAATGAACACGGCAAAAAGCCGTCCAGCCATTCAGCTAGTTGCCAGTTGCCAACCACGCGTGACGACCGCGGGCCGGACGCACCGAAATGTTACAGAAAGTGAAATTTCACACCCGCTCTACCGGCCCTATCACGCTCGGGAGCTGTGAACGCTATGACGAGGCAACTCCTCTTCCGGGAGATTCCGCCGCTACGGGAAGGTCGCAATCCAGTTGAGATTCTTAATTGAAAAGGAAATCATTTTATTGTTATTTATATTCGGTGGTGGTCATTTAAAAGTCCATGTGCCTATTTTTTCTTGATTTTCCGCTACACTTATACGGCCCTTTTTTGATTATTTTATGACATGAAAATAATATGCATGTACTATAAAACATTGTTTATTTCTGGTTGTTGGTGTTGTTTAGAATAAACTGACTTTATGAAGGAATCACTATGCTTCAACATGCATGGATGGACCAGTTGGCGACCTATTTGAAGATGCTTCTAACATTTTGGGATTTAATTTTTATACACGTGGATTGTAAATCTCAACATAGCGGAGGCATCACAATGTACCCTTAGTGGTAATTTTGGACTTGTAATGTCGAAACCACGGCCACGTTATTTGCGTAAATGGAATTTCGTTCACACACAAACATTCTTCTTCTTTCGTTTACCTTACATGAGAAAATGGTTAGGTATCATATCAGGCATGTAAAACATTTAATACGTCTAGGATGAGTAAACTCCTGTATAGTAAAATGTATCAAATGTATCACTGTTTAAACGTGGGAATACCTAAATAGTATAATATACGTAAACACATAAATTATTTTTTATATTATTTTTCAATAAAAAACCAGTATAGAAGTCGATTAAATAGTAATTAAATAATTCAGCGTGACGCGCTCAGTTTAAATAATTTGTTAAATTGTTGCGTTAAAACAATATGATTATACTTAGTTATGTTTATTCTTGTTGCGTGTGTTTCGTATTTTAGGTCAATAAAGTTTTTGTTGTTAATTTGAGTCTGCCTCAGCGACATCTAACGATCATTGGTGAAAACTTCTAAAAATTCATTTAAAATCCTATGTAAGCCAAATTTTGTTCACCTGTCTTATCTAAATTACTACAAAAGATAAAGTTGACAATAAAAGTACTTTGTCGGGAAGTATTTATTGTATGTTAAGTTTACTATATTTAATAATTTATTGGGAGTTTTGGAATCGCTTTCTAAAATCATATACAGTTATTAAATTCATTTTAGAGCAAAAACTTTACGAAGATATCCTTAATTTATTGCAATGTTTGACGACTTGCCCACATCCCTTCGTTGTATTATAGATAAATTGAATTTTACAAGTTCGCCCGTACGACTTTCGCTTTGTGCCAATGAAAAACAGATAAAACTTGATTTTTATAGCTCGTATGGGTGTTCAGTACAGTGAAATCATCCCACAGATTATATATCAACCAATTTTACGCATTTAAACGGAAATAAGGAATTGTTAGCAAAGGTTTTATTGTTTGAGAGCACAAAATGGTTGGAATTTTTAACAGAAAAACTTCAACCGGGTATAGATAGAACAATGCAACAGAAAATTAGGAGTATTTGAACTAAATATTTGTTTAGTGGGATAACCGGGGCACACCTTTCTAAAGGTTATCGACAGTTCGACGATTTTTTTTATGTGAGAAAGTGGCAAACTAGCTGGCGGTTCACCTTATGTTTAGTGATAACCGCCGCCCATGGACAGTTGCAACACCCGTGGGGTTGCAAATGCGTTGCCACCTATAAATAAAGTGGGCCCCGGCTACCTCACTCACCAGACAAAACGCAGAAGTATAACACTTCTACTTTACGCCAGTTTCCTGTGAGGTCGTGGTACTTACCCGGACAAACCTGCACATTCGTGCAACAGCGAACACTGTTGCGTGGTCCTACCACAGTTAATGGTAATCACTTTAATCGATTACACCGTTTGTATTACTACCTCCTTGCATAAGAAATAGATTTTTTGGCCTAGAAAACCTGGCCACCCTACAATTAGAACAAACAGCTAAGAATTGGCAATAAGCGTAAACATCGACGCAAGATAATTTAATTCATATTTTCGTACCTCGAAAAACTTTAAGTAAAAGATTGTTAAGCGTTATTAAGGTAAAAAAAATACATCTCAAATTGAAATAAATGGGAAACGGCGTTAGAAAAAAACAAACATTAGAAAACTCAACAGAAACAAATTGCAGGTTGACGTGCCATAATTATATTTAATTAACCCTTACCCTAGTGAACTATTAGCGCGTTCGAGATAAACATCTCCGGTCCAGATCGATCTTCATCAATCAAGTGGACAGTGCTCTGCTGTTCGGGCGAAACTCACCCCGCCGGTTCATTAGCCCCTTTGTGGGCTAGGGGTTGCTCGCCGCGTTCAGGAATCGATTCGATGTGCCTTAAAGCGTGTCCACACGTGCTCTGGATGTAGTCGAGCAGTATGCTGTTGGAATTTTTAGTGGCCTCCGCTTCAATAGCTTAAATTGATCGGTGTATAACCTTTACAACGCTTTAAATGTCAAAAATCAAAAGGAAAATGAGTTACGAAGTGCATTGGCACAATTCATGTATATTGTATTTTTATTAAACATCAATTATTTCCTAACGTGATGAAAGATCAGCTTAACAAAGTGTAACATTCGGTAGAAGTTTTGGTTCATAAATTGAAAAAGTTTGCATCCTTCCTGATATTATGCGATAGAAAGATTAATTTGAAAATAACGAACGGGCATGAAACGGAAGTCGATTTAAGATCTGTTTAGAAACAATAAAGTACAATTCATAACATTTCTTCGAATTTTATGTCATCGTTTTGTCTATTAGGATATTAAGCGCTTGGAGACAGTTTTAGGAATCTTTAGTGTATCTTATGGCCGAAATATAGATTATTAGGCCACTTATATTTATTATAGTTATTATATTTTAGTTATATTATAGTTATTATACCTCTCGGTTGTAGAGTTGCTAAGTTAAATACTTCGGCGATGGGCGTGACGGGTTCCATTCCCACATGTATTTGAGTGACTCACAGAAAAGACTTCAGGTAAGAGGCCGGTAAAACAAAACCTAGCCCATAACATTACAAGAACAGTTAGATTTCCATGTTGTACCAATCCTTGTGGGATAAATAAGGGCAGGAGAAAGAGTTATTATACCTATTTCGGCGCTATTCATTCAACAGCGGTATTAATAGAGGTATCCTGGAAAATAACAGTTACAGGAAGGTTTAATCCCAAAGCAACGTGTTTATATGCATTTACTTTAATGAATATATTAGTTATATTTTTTATCGTATCGGGTTTTTTTTTATAATTTTTAACTTTTAGTTTTCATTCTCTATTTTCAAAATAAAAATCGATTAAGCATCTCTGTACGTGTCAGCGTAGACACAAGCCATATGGCAACACTGTCACTTGACACCATAGTATCGGGCGAAGTTTTTTGCGTAAAGTTTGTCCGTTGGGCAAAAACTAGCGAAGCATGCGGTTTTCGCGATAATTTATGGTTGCGAAGATTAAAATGTGAGGTGACTTTCGCGACGCGGTTGTGTAAAAAACATACACACGGTTTACGATTTTTTGTATGTCAAAAATGTTGAGTATAAGTATTACAAGAAACACATGCACTATACTGTTAAGCTTTAGGGTTCCGTACACCAAGGGTAAAACGGGATTACTAAGACTCCGCTATCTGTCTGTCTGTCCGTCTGTCACCAGGCTGCCTACTCCCGACAGGTTCGAGTTCTGAATCAATTTGACTCGAATTTGACTCGAATTCGTGGCAGTTCGTACCACTGAATCTGACGCCAGCGCACAATCGAGTAGTGGCTCTAATTGGAACTAATTTTTCGAAAAAAATTAAGCAATTAACATTTTATCTAAGAAAGATGTTATAACCGTAAACATGGAACATTTGTCTGTGTCGTAATAGGCCAGATACAGTTAACGGATTTGATAACGCACGGTTTTGTTTCTAGTTTCGATTCGGTTCGGGAGTAAGATTTTCAAATCGAGTGCGAATCAAGAGTGAGTTCGAATCGAAAACGAAAACAAATTCGAATCGAATTTGAGGAGTAATACGGCAGGCTGTATCTCATAAACCGTGATAGTTTGACAGATGAAATTTTCACAGATGATGTATTTCTGTTGCCGCTATAACAACAAATATTTAAAAAAAAAACATTGCACTTGGCTGGTTTTTTTATTATTCTCTTATGGAAATTGATTACAACCGCTCAAAATACACTACGTATGACGAAAGATCCGAACAAAATATTTAAATGGCGATTCTCACCACCGTATATAATATACACAAATAACTATTGTGGTTAAATGTTGATCA